GAAGACTGGCCATTATTATATTATTTTATTGATGTGAATTTAGTGTGTCAGTTGTAACTCAGTTATTCAGTATTCTGAGGGCTTTTCCCTTGCCGTGTGTCCTCAGAGAAATATAATCATGGTTGCTATGACATTAATGGGGTTATTTTAATTCTTGGTTTATATAAACCTTTCCCCCTCGCTGTGAAAAACCTCATTTTGCTGGCTATTATAACATGTAGAAGGATGAGAGAGGTTCAAGCTGTTATGATTAATTCATTTTACACAAAACTTCTTGGAATAATAGTACTCTTTGAATGCGCCTGAAATTTCATACCAAAGACAACTTCCACCTTCAACCTAATTTAGGGTATTATCCTTCTTGTATCTGTCCTTTCTTATATAACATCAATCCATAGCAAAAATACATATACTCGACATTAAACATGCTTTCTCAGTTTATCATGGGGCATTGAGGAAGACCCATCTCAATTTCACCTTTACTAAATGCAGATTATTTGTTTTCAACAATTATGCTACATGGCTGCAGTGAGATCTGCAGTGTGCAGACCTATACCTGCTACAGGAAAGGTCATACTGCTTGGTGTGGCCCTCATGGAGGGCAGGTGCAGATACTTTCGTTCTGTCTCTGAGATGGGTAAAACTGCCACTGGGAGTAATGTCTACAGCTTGCTAAATATTCTCATTTCCAGAGGTCGTGTCTCAGCACACTGGCTTTCTGGATGATCTTTCTGTAGAAATCAATGTCCCTCCCCTGCATAAGGCATATGAACTTAGTTATCCTAGAATCATGTATGAGTGTATGGAAAATTACACTAAAGGAGAAAGAAATTACTTGGCATCACCCATCTTCCCCTACCTCAAAGCTTAGTAATTATATTGAATAACTAATGCAAGCTTAGTAATTAAACTGAATAACTAATGCGAAGGGTTGACAAGAATCAGGTATGTGTTGCACAGTACATTCCTTTATAGCGCACACTTCATATCCCTAGAGCATTGGATTGACACTCCTTAGGTATTTGTGGAGGATCATGCCTTCTGTTAGTTACCAGGTGATGGCATGATAGTTGTCACATATTCCCACAAAATTGAAGCTGGATTATTATAGTTTTCTTCCCATTCCTACATAATTGGCAAAATTAGTCTACTGTTTGTTCAGAAAATAGCAGTTTGATAAGCCATGTGTCTGAGTTCTTGCTCTATCTGTTCTTGGTGTTCCTCTCTTGAGAAAAAGACTCAGCTAACATAAACCCAGCTAATCTAAACAGCTAAGTGGGTCCTTCTGACTAAATTGACAGTTATTCTTCAGCACTGTGTATTCTTGGTATTCCTTAGTGTCTGAATTCCATTTGAAATAAATTTTACTTGTTTATGGCAGTCTGAAGGACTCCTTGCCCTATTAGATTCAAAATGACAGCCTATAGCTCACATACACCCTGTGAATAGAGTTTACACAAAGAATCAAAATTTACAGGGTAATCAAGCTGGGTTGCAGCTTTACAATAGAAAAGTATTTTTTTCCTGAAAACCTGTGCATCATATCTCCACATCTCTTAAAACATCCAGAAAACATGTTTTCACCTGTTTGAAAGATGACACTGGAGAAATAAGCACTTACTTAGTGGGACATTTTGCCAACAGTAGATACTACTAATGCTCCAATTTAACACTTGCACAGTGACCTGTAAATTCACAAATGACAAATCATGTCTTACTCCCTGTCACACTGACAGCTACAGCGTGTTCAAGTTAAAAATGAGAAATAAAATTATGATGGCAGCATGTTTTCTTTGACCTCTCGTGTAGTCTGAGACTTGCTTTTCTTTTGCAGAACCATATAGACCGAACATGGTGATATTAGAGACCTTATGTGAAAGATCTCAATTAAGAGTGATTACTTCAATAGAGGTGACGTGGGATTAGTTAGATAATAGGATGTATTTCTTTTTAAATAATTTAGTGATTATTTCTGCCAAAATGTTGATGCAAGGTTTGGATTTGTCTCAGGTTTTAAGCTATTTCCTGTGTAAATAAATGCGCCATATCTTGGGGAGAGCTGTAGTAGCTACGATTCAGTGCTGAAAGTAGACAGCAACTTTTGTAAGAAAAAGAAAAGCAGTCGTGGGAATTCAGAATATCCACCTGTTGATTATAGAGGCAACTGGAGCATAATGGGGAGGAATGATAAACAGAAGTACCAAACTCGACAGCTCCTCCACAGAGCAAAGAGATGCATTGTCTGTGTAAGATGTGCCCCTGGTGTGTCTGTATGGCTTTGTATAAAGGCCTCTTTTTTTTTTTTTTTTTTTTCCTGGAAATGAATGAGGCAGACAGCTCACTGCTCAGGGACTGTAAGGTTGTCTACATTGCTGTCTTGGTAAGGAGGAGTTTCTGGTGAACTTGGAGAGTAGCTGAGAGGCTGACAGTCTCCGCAGACTCTGGACAGTCAAGGTGACATGCATTTGGTCATGACAGAGAGAAGGCAAAATCACCTCAGTGAGATCAGGGAGAATATATCTCTCTGTTTCTACTCACGTCTAAGTCAATCTATTTTGAAAACTTGCACTCAGTGTATGTAACGGCTGAAAATAAAGAAGCCTGAACACATTATGTAAGTACAGACTGTTAGATATATCTGTGTTTAAAAGGATTCAGTAATATTTCAGCTCTTTTTATATATATATATAGAGAGAGAGGTGCAAAGAAAAGTGCTTTGCTGAGGACACTTCCTCATCATCCTCCTATTGTAATTTGTGCAGTTATTCTTGTAGGGCTGGATACAAGTCTGTTTCGCTATCATAGAATGGTTTGGGTCACAAGGGACCTTGAAGATAATCTGATTTCAAGCCCCCTGCAATGGACAGAGACACCTTCAACTAGACCAGGTTGCTCAAAGCCCCAGACAGCTTGAACACGGGAACCATCTTTAAACACTGCCAGGGCATCCACAACTTCGTTTGGTAACCTGGTCCAGTGCCTCAACACTCTCGATCTATATTTATCTACCTATCTCTATCTTCTTAGAGGGTAAGAGAATAGAATTTCAGATAGAAGTCAAATAATCCCTATTCTCCTCACTGTCTACCCCACAATGCACTTTTCCGATCCATGGTTCTGCTTTTCCTGTATGTTCTTCCCTTTCAGAATTTCAGTGGAGCTGTTGCCTCTAATATGGGGACAGTCTATTCAAAATACACTTTAGGTGGAGTCCTCAGCCCTGCAAATATAGGGCATGGGCACTATTTGGGAAAAACCACGCTCTATAATTTTACCTTCTTACTTCTGCCACACAAAGGGAAGTCAAAAGGTTTCCACCACTTCAAAGGGAGAGAGATTTTCAAGTTGATATTCTCCAGACCCGACTTCCTAGATGAAAAAAGAAGGTTTCCCCATGAACTAGAGGAATATCCCTCACCTGCTGATCTTATAGCAGCAGGGATGGAGGGGAAGAGCTATGGATTTCAGGGACCAGAGGAACTGGACAACACAAAAACTACAGAAATTCATTCTAGTGCTCTGGGATGTATGTTTTCTGTTGAACTGTCTTCAGGGGTAAAGGGAACAGTATTGAATTAATTGGGTCAATTTATGTGTGGAAGAGCAGAACTAATTAGGACTGTGTGGGAATGCAAGTATAGTAGTGGGAAAATCCAGTATATTTAGGGAACAGAATCAATTAGGAACCTGCACTGGAGGAGCTGGGGGATTGTCCAGTTATAAGACTCTTTGGTGCTCTAGGGGAATGGAAATGGTCTTTTTTTTTTTAGATGATAAGGAGGCAGAACAGAATGAAGTAGGTAGAGCAGAGAAAGAATTGAAAGGAAACTATTCCTTTCTCTCAAATTCCTTCATCTGAAATTCATTCCTCCCCTCCCAGGGGTCGATATCCTTTTTCCGTTTTTAATGCAAAGGCAATTGAAAATTACAGAAGAGGTAGAAAGTACCTTGCCTTCTTCCCAAATCCAAGGGCCAGTGTCTCCCTTCCATTTCCATACACTGGCATTAAATACATTGGACTGGAGTGTACACTCTGTTATTTTCTTTCTTTGTATAAATTTCAGTAGTGGGGAGAGAGGAGCTACAGATAAGCCATCTCAGCAAAGAGTTGTCATCCTCTGCTGAAGGAGACTATGTGAAAGGTTTTACCCCATTGCTGAGATTGCTGATTTACCAATTTCCAAATCAAACCTGCTATGCAAATTTGAATGCAGTTGTTATCAGGGAGACTTGATGTTAGCAAATATAGATTCTGTTTATATATACTCCTTCATGCATATTTGTTTTTTCGTGTATCAGTATTTTCAACTTCATGACACATTATGTTATGCAGTAAATTTTCTTTTAATTGGGCCTGTCTAAGGAACACAAGTATTATAATATTATTGTAATAGTCTGAGGTCTTAAGTTTTGCAATGTAAAAAACTTGTAACTACGTAAAGATAAGATTGAGGAAATAATGTTCTCTCAAAATGAGAGAAAAAAGGAAGTACCCATATAAAATGAGAGGCAAGTAACACCAGGTGGTTTATATTATACTTTGATAATATTTTTCTCTCAGATTAGGAGCCCTAAATACTGGGCTCTTCAATTCCTACGAGATACCTTTGGCAAAACCTCTAGACTTTTAAAACCCTGATTTATATATACATATGCACATTTTAAAAAAGCTTTCTCAGTACTATAAAACCTACAAGAAAGAAAAAAATTATCAGCCCTTCTCCAAATTTTAGTGGGCTGTGAGTCTTCCAATGTAGGTGGGCGCATGCTGCTTGGCTACTCAGCCCTGTCCTGTGGAGGACCTGATGTCTTCCATTTGTTCCCCTCTGCATTACATTTCCTGAGCTCATTTGCAGCTGTCTCCATTATTCACAGCTCTGAAATGATGAAAGGAGAAAAGAAAACATATGTTTTATCTGTATGTTAACTGTGAGAAGGTTTCGGGCGGGGCAGCGGGCAGGACAGATGTGGAGATGGTGACCCTTGCTGTTGCCTTGCAGGAATGTCAGCTCTGCTGGAGAGGAGGCCCGCAGAAGAATGAGGGAGTGTGATGGCCTGACAGATGCATTGCTGTATGTGATCCAGTCTGCTCTGGGGAGCAGTGAAATTGATAGTAAGGTTTGTCATCTTTGTCTTTTCAGGAGCAAATACAGGTGTTCAGGTACATGGGAACTATAAAGTGACAGATTTTTGTACCCTTTTTTTTTTTTTAAATGCATCGTGAAGGATGACTTAGCAAGGCATAATATAGCCCATCTTTTCTTCTTCCTTCTGCTGATCTGTGTATTTTAGTGTGCTAAGCATTGTATTTGTGTATACCTGCAGAGCGTGCACAGGTAAGCATGTCATCCTCTCAACTGAATTATTGAAGTAGAAAATATGATAGTGGTTTAAGAAGAGCAAATATGTCATATTCCACGTGAAGGTCCTTACATTGCTCTGCCAGTTTTACCTTAAAATTGATTTTTTAGTAGTACAGAGCTAATAACAGTGAAGTAGGCTTAGAAAGCAAACAAGAAAAAAAAATTGCCCATTAATAGGCAGTTTTGCAGTAAAGCAAACATTATTTCTTCTCCGAAGAGGATCAATGAATGCTTTCAATAGCAACTGTGTTAAGATCCCTCATTATGTCAACTTTACTTCTCTGAAAGTACTCCGTTATGAACAAGCTTCTCCAAAGGTGAAAGATACTGCCTAATTAAAAAGACTCCAAGCATTTACAAACTGAAGATTTGTAATACATTAAGGTATTACAGAGAGGAAGAGAAAGGCTAGTTTCTTTTGCTTTCAGTATACGGTGCTAAATTAATTACAGTTGCTGCTCTAGGGCAACCTTGGTCCATTTGCAAATCCCTAGGAATTGCAGGAGAGCAGTCTTTTATGCAGCAAGGTTTTAAAGTCCACTGGGTTTGTATTTCCAAACGATCCTTCACAGAGTTGTACGTGGACCTCTGTGGGTTTATAGATTCAAGAGGGACAATCCTCAGAAATCTCTGGTCACTAACCTGAATCAAACAGGTGAAAATTGCTTGTGAATTCAGGGGACAGAGAGAGGAATTAAGAGAGGTGCTGGGCTAGCAGTATGCCTTTGGGGTTTTTAATAGACAAAAAGCACCCCAAAAATTCCCACAACCCATTAGTCTCTAATGTAATGAGAAGCACAAGGAAAAAGTTCAAAGGTACAAGTGAAGAAGGAGTGAAATCTGCCACCTGTGTGGTTAGAAACAGCTTTCTTGGTTTGTAGGGTTCACCTTAGTGAAAAGGTGTTGATTGCATTTGAGCCTTAGAAGTTTGCTTACCAGTTTTAGTTTGAGGTAAAATTGTCCTCCTGATGGACTCAGCTTATGTTTTCCACAAAATAAGAATTTTAAATGCAAAACCTGTTATTTTTAAAAAGAAAAATTAAAGTTTAGAATTCTAATCAACAAATGCAAAGCTTCAACTTAAGCATATTGTGGCAAAACTGAAGAAAATTCACGTATGAGTATGTTAAAGAAAAGTCAAAAAGGCAGCAAATGTTTTAAAATATTTATGGTCACTGTGATGTCTGGAAAGCTTTCAGCCCTGAAAGGTGCTCTAAGAACACTTTCGACACACACACACATGCACATATGTATTTTTTACATGTGTTTACGTATTTGACCAGAGTTTTCAAATTCGTACAAGTGTGTTGTGAAATTTCATCTATGTTAAAAAATAGATGAATAAATATTCCTACATAAGTGAATCTGAATTAGATATTGTCTCTGGAACTTAGTGTCATCACAAAAAATGTGTGCATACCTGGCAGAAGCTCATACAGTATATTAAAGTAAACGAAGCCCCATCTTTTTGCCTCAATGGAAAATATGGCAGAATACGATAGAGCTGAAAGCCTCACAGTTATTCCATTCTGGGTTAATGGAGCAGCAGTGCTGGGATGTAGTGACTATTGCTTTTTATGTCCGGGGAGCATTAGAAACAGTTGAAATAAATATAGATAGATAGAGAATGGCTTTTTTAACCATGCTTTCCCTGCCTCCAGAAAATTAAGCTCATATCCCTCTTATTAGGGATAATCAAACCCAAATTGAACCAACTAAATGAGTAGGTTTCAAGTCTAAACTGAACTTCTTTTAGACTTGCAGAAATTATTTTGAATTATAAGTGAATTTTCCTCCAGTGCATCTCATCCATTTATGGATTCCTGCTTGCATCTTCCATAGAAGGCATAACCTATTAGGGGGAAAAATGGATGAAAGGGAAAGGCTGTGCACAAGGTATCTATCTGCTAGAAGCAGTAAAGCAATAAGACTCTCAAATTTCTGGTTTTACTTCTGGACTCGAGAAACATCATCTGTTCATGCTACAAGTACTTGTAAAATGGAACTCAGATCCCATTTTTCTAGTAATTTACATAGAATTTCTGCAGAAAAAAGGTTATTTCTGGTTTTAAAAGTATAAAACTAAAGACAGAACCTATTGCCATTTTCTGTTTGTAGCACTTTCTGTTCACTGAGGTGGGAGTTTGCTGACATTCTGAGTGTTCAGATTCTCTTGATTGCTTTTTACCTCAACATCTGTTTCACATGGGACTCCACTGTGAAATTCTGAATGAAAATAAAAATACCACCCAGAAAAATATTATCCAGCCTACTGATTTGCTACCATAAAAATTTCTAAATATCTTAAGCCGGGAGGCACTCATAATTGTGCTGGGAAAATGTTATGTGCAAAGATAGATGAAATTCCTTGTACTTTGTATACAAAGTGAGCAAGGGAAGGATTTTAACTTTTTTCTGGTTTTGTTTTCTGTATTTTTCTTTTTGTCATACTTTTCAGACCGTTGAAAACTGTGTGTGCATTTTGAGGAACCTCTCATACAGGCTAGCTGCAGAAACATCTCAGGGACAGCAGATGGGAACAGATGAACTTGACGGATTACTCTGTGGTGATGCCAATGGAAAAGACACAGAGAGTTCAGGGTGCTGGGGGAAGAAGAAGAAGAAAAAGAAATCACAAGATCAGGTAATGAAAGTTACTTGCAGCTGTGTTGTGAGTGGTTGAAGTGCCCATCATTTAAAATATAAATAATTAATCCACTGTATTAGAAATAAAGTGCATGATGCATAATATACCAAACTGTTGCCTTTGTTAATTAGCTGAGAGCTTAAAGTGGAATATGGCTCTGGAGTAATGAATTATGTTTGCCTGAGAAAGTTGTACATTATGTGGTGCACCTGGAAACCGTAGTCATGAGTACACTGTGAACACCATAAGTACTGTAAAATGCACTATTAAAGAAAGCCATTTATAATGAAAAGTGTAATCTGCATATATTTTACACTGTACTTCCACATAGCCACTTATGTGTAGAAAGGCCTTGATGCAAGCAAACATCAGTCTTATATTTGTATACTTATTTGCTTCAAAGTTAGTCTTGGACTGTGCCTAGATATGTGTTGGAAGAAAACTGTACAAGATTGAATCAAGCAATATGATTGAATGTTAAAAAAAGCTATATTTTGAGGTATTTAATATTGTTACCAAACAAAGATTGAAAAGGAGCCTTGATCGTTTCCTCAAGTTATTTGAGGTGCTGTCGATTATTATTTTGGGTGGGTTGATTTTCAAAGTGTATTTTTCTCCATTTTTTCCCATTAAGAACTCAGAATTTGGGGAATGCTGACAGTTATGTTGCAGAGAAAGACACTGTGTCAGTACACACACTAAATAGCAGTGAGAATGGCTACTGCTTTATGAGCTTTTCTAGGTGGCCTGTGCTGGCAGCAGGCAATTTTCCATCTCTTCCTACACTTAGTCACTTTTTTGCATTTTAATTTATTTCTGTTTCAGATTGCTCAAAGAGAATATGTATTTGAGTAAGCAATTAGGTACACTGGGTATTTGAATAAATTATGTAAACTGGTACTGAAAAATATTCCTGAGTTCATAATGCCAAATTTTGTTAATGTGGAAAAGTTATAGGAATGTTAACAAGCTAAAATTTGGTTACTGAAAAATGCAACACTCCTGACTAGTAAGACTTTAATTTCCCCCACTGTTCTAGTTAAACACTTCTGTCATCAGATAACTTGCATTTATTATGGACTTTTGTTTGGATTCCTGTATTAGGCTGCAGTGAGATTAAAAATGCTAAAGCAAACTAATTTTACTCCATAAAGCAGTCATCATCCGTGTTCCTGAATTAACAGTTCTCACACGCTATGCTTGCAGTTATTCAAAGTGCAGGAACAAAAAATAGCATGTCTGGATATGAATGAGTCACACTGCAACTTGTCTTGCTCCTTGATGCTCTGTTTATGAACGTATGCACACACATACTATGCAAAGTCTTTTGTAAGTCTTCCTTTTATATTTCTTCTGTGACTTTTGGGTTTTAGGTTCATACTTTTAACTCTGTACAACTGACTGTTTCAATGTTCCTCTCAGGCTTCTCTTTACTTAAAAGGATCCCTGTAAAAGATCTTTCTCCTCTTCCAGGCCAAAGAACTAAGCTTTTTTGGTTGATTACCAATGTACATTCTTCTGCCTGCTCTTACATATCTTTTGTCTGTTCCTATGAGCGGTCATTGGAGCCCCTGGTGGTCTAGTGGTAAAGGCGCGGCGCTGTCACCGCCAAGACCCGGGTTCGATTCCCGGTCAGGGCCACTCCCGGGCAGGTGGAGCTCGTTAGCCCTTAAAGGCAACCCACCTACGTCCTAAGGACCTCGCTGCCACCGTCCAAGCTCGCTTGGCCCCGGCAGATGAACCTTAGGATTAAAGGGTGGGCTCAGTTCCGCACACACTGTGTCTCACCTAAAAAATCCAATGCGCAGGCTGGAAGGTGTAAAGACCTTCCCCGGATCTTCGCTCGCGAAGACTGGCCATTATTATATGAGCGGTCATTATCAGCACACAGCATGGTAAAGGTCTCTTCAGAGCTGTTTGTGTTTCTCTAATTGAAGAGTTTTATATAATTTTTAAAAACCAAAGAGAAGTAAAACTATGCACGTATTTTCAGGTTTATGATTAGTTGGCTTTTCTGTGGCAAAGACATCAATTCCAGAACTGATTTCACGGTTCAAAGGATTGCTTTGCCTTACAAATATTACAAATATTTTTCCTAATTATGTTTTCTGCCTTCATGTAATTTCTTTTAAATCTGGACAGCCTCCTTCATCTTGCCTTATGCAAGTCCTCACATGTGGATTTTACTTAGTTTAGGAATTTTAAGGGGGCCTTGTGAGCCTTATACATGATTCTTGACTGTTGTTGACCATACCAAATGTTTTGAAGGATATTATCAAGTTAATATATTATCAAGTTAACTAGAATGCCACTAAAAACGATAGCAGTGAAGTCACCATGCGAGAAACAGCTCTCCCAAGTTACCATCAAAAGTGGAAAAGAAAAATAATGTTTCTCAAGTAACTGTGCATTTATATTAATAGCATAGAGCAACTCAAACTGTGGTAAGCGTAAACAGAGGCTTTTTGACCATTTATTTTGCAAAAATAAGTACACAAGTGTATTCAGAAACTTTTTTTATGGAAACCACCTTGTCCAATTGTGTAAAAAAAGTGTTCTTTCTTCTTCTTTGCTCTGTCACTGTCTTGAGATTTTTCAGCACCACCTGTAGATTCATACTACTGAAAAATAGGAATAACTGGAAACGCACATTATTATCTTCTGGGCTGTGTTGCAGGCAGGAATACCCTGTTTACTATTTCTCTATGTGTCAAGAAAAATCAGTATTCTTGGCTGGTTTGAGGGATTTTTTTTTTCCAGGCAAAAGTCCCTAACAACGGGATCACATTGATTTCCTCAGTTTAGTTAAAATTCACCCATCTACACTAAGCTCCTCAAAACTTCCTGCAGGAGGATTATTTTCCCATATCCTTTCACCATACATTGTCTCCCTATGTGCTGACTGCAGCCCTGTGTATTGCACATGTACCTATCAGTAGTCTCATTGTTTTTCTTCAAGACTTTTAAATATTTCCAAGTAATGCCTTTCATAATCTCTTTTCAACTGCAGTGCTTAAGCTGCTACCTGCTGCTTATTCTGTCCCTCAGAACAGATCTCGTGCTCCCCTTGGGATGCTATTTTTAGAGTGTTCATTCCTTTAAGTGTCTCAGCAGCAAAGCTTTTGCACTCTGGAATATCTTACAGTTCTGAAGATCACGCTCATGATGGACAATGTTTTACATGTAAATAATGAAGGAATGCCTATGGAATCTTCATCAAATGCAATGATTTACAACATCTGAAACACTGGAGGCTCTACACACTACCATGGATTTGGGATCTGTGAAAGGAAAATTCAGAGAAATAAAAGACAAGAAAGATATTATAGTAATCAGTTACGCAGATGCCCATGAAGAGAGGGCACTGAGCTTCAGGCTGCTTTTAGCAGATCATTCACACCAGAAAATACAAACCTAGATACCTGTCAGAAAATTGGGCTCATTATTATTGTCACTTGTTGATACACGAAATGGAGTTCAGCCCAAGGTTAAAACTTCAGTCATTGACCTGTGTGATTCCTTTAATATTTGAGAGTTTTACCTTTCTGTTAGGCAAAGGACAGGGCACAGATACATCTCTGAGTTGTGAGACCTCAGGGGAGTAGTGTCCAGTTGTTGCTATATTTTATATCCCCAGAAAGTATGTGTTGAAGGTAGAGGTATTGTTCCTGTTTTGGCAGTGCATGGAGATTTTGAATAACAAAATTGCTGTTTCATTTTTTCTCAGAAGATAATGTTTACAAAACTGAGGGGAAAAGAATGTTCAGATTTTAGTGAATGCAGTTTTGAAATTTTCCTATTACATTAGTGCTGTTGCTTAGTTTCTCAAGTGTGTATTTTCTTGAACTCCTTTAATTTATACATTTGTGGGGGTTTCTTTTAATTTTTAGAGGAGCCCCTGGTGGTCTAGGGGGTAAAGGCACCGCGCTATCACCGCGGAGACCCGGGTTCGATTCCGGGTCAGGGCCACTCCCGGGTAGGTGGGGCTCGTTAGCCCTTAAAGGCAACCCACCTACGTCCTAAGGACCTCGCTGCCACTGTCCAAGCTCGCTTGGCCCCGGCAGATGAACCTTAGGATTAAAGGGTGGGCTCAGTTCCGCGCACACTGTGTCTCACCTAAAAAATCCAATGCGCAGGCTGGAAGGTGGAAAGACCTTCCCCGGATCTTCGCTCGCGAAGACTGGCCATTATTATTATTTATTATTATTTTAATTTTTAGATAAAAGTGTCCAACACTACTAGTAGCAAAACTACTGTAAATGGATAATAATACCAGATGTATCAATCTACACAAAGGATGTGGATGAAGCTGCAGTTTTCCATACTTAAAAGAAAATCCCTTACACAGCTAGGGAGTATGTTTCTTAAACCATAAAACAGGAGAAACTTGACATTTAAGTCACTTTCTCAGTGGCTTTCTATATAATGAAAGTAAATGTTAATTTCTTAGTTTTATGATTTAGGAAAAAATTATATCAATTTTTCTAGGTTATGTTTCAGTCACAGATAAGTAACTTGAAGAGAAGAACAGAACTGAGTGGTAGTATAAAATGTGGCTTCTTTCAGAGGCCTTTCAATAACAAACTGGAATTTATTTTTTATTAGTGACATCAGTTGTCTATACTAATGGCAACTTCCCTACATCTTGAAATCAAGTAAGAGATTTGTCTTTGTTCAGATCGTAGTTAAGTCACCTTTCAAATTACTTTATTTAAGGAGTTCCCTTAGGATCATAGGAAACAAACATTCTCCTCATTTCATGATAAAGGTGGGTGGTGCTAAAAGAACCCACAGTTATTCCTCTCTTCAGTGGTTTACCAGAGCTCAGAAAGGTTCCTGAGGCATCTGCTTTGTCACACAAATTGAATGCTAGAAGAGACCCAAACGTTTTAAAGATTTGCAATAAAAGCTAGATATAGCATTGGTTTTAATTATGGAAAAACAGAAAGCAAAACTTCTGTTAAAGCCTCAGAAAAAATAAGTGAGACTCACCTGAC